TATATCTGTGCATTAGCTCAATGCTGTGGGCATGCTTTTCCACCTAGTTGTTCAGCTTTCAGCAAATGACGGCATGTAAACCACAGAAATTTTTCCTAGGAATTAATTCCTAAAAAATGCTGCCAAGGCAAGGTCCTGTTATGATGGAATAGAGAAGGTTCTCACTCCAGGGTGAAAATGTTTGAACTTCCCTCATCAGTCTCATAAATCCACTTGTGTCAGTGGAAGCCTAAACTCCTTGGTTTATATAATAATTTGCCAAGGTAGGTGTTGTGGGGTACCTGCAGGATGTATAATTAACAGACAGGCACAAGTGTGGAGTAACAATGAAGAAGAATTTAGAAAGTTCCAGGATGAAGAGATGTAAAACAGCTTCTTATTCATTCCCTAAGTTAATAAGTGTTCATTCACTAAGCCATTATTGTGGGCCTAGTATTTGCCTGGCCGTGTGAATAGAAGGGGGAAATAAGAAACAGTCCCTCTTGCCCTCTGAGATAGACATGAACAGGCAGTTAGAAGTGCTCTGTGGAGAGTGCTAAGATGCAGGGGACTGTGGGAGACCAGAAAGGGCATTTATACCAACCTGAGAGGTCAGGAAAGGCTGGCCAGAGGAGCAGGGTTTTTATTAAACTCTTAAGACAATAAACATTTGTGTGTTGGGCGGGCATGGATTACTTTAGAAAAGATGTGAACTGGAACAGCTGATTTTACCTTTTAAGTATGGATTGGAAACCATGCCTTGCAAGGCCTGTGTCCAAGCCAGCGCTTCAAACTGGTTCATTCCAGTTCGAACCCCTGCTGATAATTTGCATTTCTAACAAGTTCCCTCCTGAGAATTTGCCCTTCTACCCCAGATATACTGAATCAGAATCTACATTTTAACAAGATCTCCATGTGATTCGCTGGTATTACTTCCTGGGAACTTGTTAGAAATGCAAAATTCTCAGCAAGGAATTTGTTAGAAATACAAATTCTCAGCAGGGGTTTGAACTGGAACTGCTTCAAAGCCGTGGTCCAAACATACTTTCACATCCAGCTTGCTAGTAATTTAATTGAGTCCTTTGGACTAAGAGAAATAATTCCTTGAACTAACAGTTTTCCTATCAAAATACGAGTGCTCTAGCCAGGCTATAACACACACTTGTTGTAGTCAGGCATTTATACTTAATTGTGAATTAAATGATCCTATCCTTTGCAACTTGAGCAGGTTGAAGAGGTAGAGGTAGGTTAAGGCAGTGGGCACTGAAAAGGGAGACAGGAAAGGATAGAAAGGAGACACTTGAACTAGTCAGAAATGTATCTAATATTTGTATGTCCTGTTACCAAATTGACTTTTTATCACTGTGCTGAATGGTACTCAGCAGAATGCTCCTGGAAAAAAGAAGATTTCTTGCCTTGATGTCTGTTTATAATATTGGCTCTAAATCCACACAGTTGCAAGAATTTCCGAGGGGTCTCATCATGGCATCACTTTGCCTTCAAGCCAAGACCACTCTAAACTGCCTTTCGTGCTGTTAGAGGATCCCAGACATATTCTATTGATCTGTCACTTTCAGAGTTAACATCCCTACACTGAATCCTAGGGATATTTAAGGCTATTCACTCTCCCCCTTTCCACCCAGGTTCCCAGTGTCCATTCATCCAGTTCTTGTCCCTTCCTGCCTTTACATCTTGCTTTTGGGCAGGAGTTGCCCATTTGGTCTCCTATATTTGATTGAACTAAGAAGCACATTCCTCACGTGTGTTGTTTTATAGGGCTGTCTAATCTTTGTCTGAAACATGGGCTTCAGGAGTGGTTTCACTTCTGAGTTAGCAAAGTGTCCAGGGTCATAGTCTCAGGGATTCCTCCAGTCTCTGTCAGACCAGTAAGTCTGGTCTTTTTTTGTGAATTTGAATTTTGTCCTGTATTTTTCTTCTGCTCTGTCCGGTACTTGGAGGACACAATTCAGTCCATAACAGCTATGAATGGAATTACTGGGCCATATGATAATTCTGTGTTTAACCTTTTGAGGAATGGCTAGATTGTCTTCCGAAACAGCTGTACCGTTTTACATTCCCACCAGCAATGTATGAGAGATCCAATTTCTTCACATCCTTGTCCACACTTGTTATTGTCTGTCTTTTTTATTATAACTGTCCTAGTGGGTGTGATTTGGTATCTGTTATGGCTTTGATATGAATTTCTCTTACGGATAATGATTATGAGCATCACTTCATATGCTTATTGGCCATTCATGTATCATCTATGGAGAAATGTCTACTTAATGCCTTTGTCCATTTTTAAATTGGTTTTCTTTTTTATTAAGTTGTAGTAGTTCTTTATATATTCTCTGTGTATGTGTAAAATCAGATACATGATTTGCAAAATTTTTGTCCCATTCTATAGATTGTCTTTTTGCTTTTTTGATGGTGTCCTTTGAAGCACAAAAGTTTTTTAATTTGGTGATGTCTACTTTATCTAATTTTTGTTTTTTCTGTTTGTGCTTTTAGTGTCATATCTAAGAAACCATTCGCCTAATCCAAGGCCATGAAAAACCTATGTTTTTCTTCTAGAAATTTTCTAGTTCTAGCTCTTACTAGATCTTTGATCTGTTTTGAATTAATTTTTATATATGGTGTGAAGTAGAGGGTCCAAATTCAGTGTTTTGCATGTGGATATTCAGTTGTTCCAGAACTATTTGTTGAGAAGGCTATTATTTCCCCATTGAATTATCTTGGCACCCTTGTCAAAAATTACTTGTCATTCAATGTAAGGATTTATTTGTGGACTCTCAGGTCTGTTCACTTCATCTGTATGTCTAACCTTATGCCAGTTCCAGGAGTCTGTAGGGGGTACAAATGGTTAAGCGCTTGACTACTAGCCAAAAGGTTGGTGGTTTGAACCCACCCAGAGGCACCTTGAAAGGTTTGGCTGTCTGTTTCCAAAAGGTCACAGCCTGGAAAACACTATGGAGCACAGTTCTACTCTGTAACATATGGGGTCACCATGAGTTAGAATTGACTCGGCTACAACTATTTGTTGTTGTTGTTATGCTAGTACCAAACAGTCTTGATTTCTGTGGCTTTGTACTAAATTTTGAAGTTGGGAAGTATGAGTTCTCCAACTTTGTTCTTCTGTTTCAGGATTGTCTTGTCTATTCTCGGCCTCCTGTGGTTTTGTTTGTTTGTTTGTCCCGTCCCCCCCTCCACCGGCCCTCCTGTGTTTTCATATGAATTTTAGAATCAGCTTATCACTTTATGCAAAAAAGGGAGCTGAAATTTTGATAAGGAATGTGTAGAATCTATATATAAATTTGGAAATAATTGCTGTCTTAATGATAACAAATCTTATTTGATCCGTGAGCACAAAATGTTTTTCCATTTATTTGGCCTTTAATTTCTTACAATGATATTTTATAGTTTTCAGTCTTATACTTCTTTTGTTAAATTTATTCCTAAGTATCTTATTCTTTTTGATGCTATTGTAAAAGGAATTTTTTTTATTTCATTTTTTGATTGCGCATTGCTAGTGTATAGAAATACAAGAGATTTTTGTATATTGACCTTGTATCCTACAACCTTGCCGACCTTGTTTATTAGCTCTAATAATTTTTTTGTAGATTCCTTAGGATTTTCTGTATATAAGATCATGTCCTCTGTGTACAAGATCATGTCATCTGCAAATAGAGATAGTTTCGCTTTTTGCTTTCCAATCTGGGTGCCTTTTATTTCTTTCTTTTTTGCCTAAGTGTCCTGGCTAGAACCTCTAGTACTATGTTGAATAGAAGTGGCAAGAACAGACATCCTCATCTTGTTTTGGATCTTAGAGAGAAAGCTTTCATTCTTTCAGCATGAAGTATGATGTTAGCTGTGAGTTTTTTATAGATATCCTTTATCAGGTTGAGGAAGTTTCTTTCTATCCCTACTTTGTTGAGTGTTTTTATCATGAAGGGGTATTGGGTTTTGTCAAACGTTCTTTCTGTGTTGAGGTGATCATTTGGCTTTTGTCCTTTATTGTATTAATATGGTATATTACATTGATTGATTTTTATATATTGAACCAACCTTGTATTTCTGGGGTAAATGTCATTTGGCCATGGTATATAATCCTTTTTATAGGCTGCTGAATTTGGTTTAGTAGTGTTTTGTTAAGGATTTTTACATCTATATTCATAAGGGATATTGTTCTGTAGATCTTGTGATACCTGTCTGATTTTGATATCAGGGTAATACTGGCCTCATAGAATGACTTAGGAAGTGTTCTGTTTTTTGAAAGAGTTTTGGAAGTATTGGTTCATAATATACTTTTTAAATTTTTTTTTATTGTGGTAAAAATGTACATAACAAAACATATACCATCTCAACAATTTCCCCATGTACAATTCAGTAACACTGATTACATCATATACTTTTTATCAAGGAAAAATAGTAGCTGTCTGCTTCAGGTGCCCAGGGGACCACCCATAACCTTGAACATTATCTTGGGTGGGTATTGACTAAATTCTGACCTATATGTAACACCTTCTCCCATCCCCATCCCATTGGTGCTGAGAGGTTGTCAGGATCCAGCAGTTTTCAGTGTAATGCTGGCTCCGTTTGCCATCCTCTACAAGGTTGTGAGAGGCTTTTTTTGTGGAAACTGTAATCTTAGAAGGAGTATTTTATAGCTAACTTTTAAGAATGAGAAAATTCAAAGATCATCTCTAAAAAGTTATTTTATTAGCTTCTGATTACCTTAATAAAGTAATTAAGGTTGTGCAGAGCAGAATTGAATACTCCTACATGGTTTTTTCCTCTGATTTTCAACATTAGAAATGGCTATTTTAAGATCATGTTTTCTCGAGGCCATCTGGTGGCAATATCTCATTGATTCCTTTGTTGTCCAGTATCCATACTCTAGAACTACAAAGGTTTATCACTTAAAGGCCACAGCGGTGGAAGAGGCGCCATCTTTAGGACTGTAGCCGTCACTGGGCATCTTTCTGAGCCCCTTTATGATCTAGCTTACTTCTCCCCTACAGGTACCACGTGCTCAGACCTCTCGGCCGGAATCTCCAGGGATGACCAGCCCCTCCCCGCGCATCCAGATAATCTCCACCGACTCTGCAGTAGCCTCTCCTCAGCGCATTCAGGTACCTGCACTGCTCCCACTTGGTTCTGGTCACCAGCCTAAGGGTGATCCTGTTTTCCCAAATCCTTTCCAAAACCCGACCTGCCTGAAGGTTTCACTGAGGATTTGTGGCTCTTGGGCATCAAGTACAGAACTTCATTCTTTAAAAAAAATTAAGGGTTTACATTCATTTAAGTTACTTTTAAAGCAGTAGTTCAAACTATAAAAGTTTGGGATGAAGTACCATTTTATTATTATCGTAGTAGTTAAGAGCAAGAGCCCCCACTTCATAGCTTTTTGACTTTGGGCAAGTATTTTTAGAGAACACTGTTACCATATTACTTATTTATTTTTCCAGAGATCGGCTCTGCATACACACTTATAAGCACATATATAAATACGCACATCATATTTTTACATGAGTGTTGGTATTCTGTGCATGCTGTTATGCTCTCTTAATCTCTTGGAGAATTTTCTACATGGTACAAATAGAGCTGCCTCTTTTTCTTGAGTAGCTCCTTAATAGGTGTGAGAGTACTATGTATTATACTATGCATTTTCTTCTAGTTTTTTTTTGTGATAAAATTTATATAACAAAAAAAATTTAACCACTGTCTATTTCCAAAAGTTTTTTTTATCACCCTAAATGAAAACAGTACCTCTTTAGCTATGACTCCCATTACCCCTTCCCCTAGCCCCTGGTAACCACTAATAATCTTGTCTGTATGCATTTGCCTATTGTAAATATTTCATATAAGTGGGATTATACAGTATTTGTCCTTTTGTGTCTGACTTATTGCATTCAGCATAGTGTTTTCTAGGTTCATCCATGTCATAGCATGTCTCAGAATTTCATTTCTCTTTGTGACTGAATAATATTTCATTGTATGTATACGCCACATTTTGTGTATCCTTTCAGCTGTTGATGGGTTGTTTCTACCTTTTGGCTACTGTGAATAATGCGCCAGTGAATATTGGTGTACAAGTATCTATTTGAGTTCCTGCTTTCAAGTATTTTATAAATGGAATATTTTATAAATGGAGTATTTTGTAAATGTTAATTAGTTCAAGCTGATTGATGGTGCTATTCAGATCAGCTATATCCTTATTGATTTTCTGCTTGCTTGATCTAGCAGTTGCTGAGGGGTCATTGAAGTCTCCAGCTATAATAGCTGATTTGTCTATTTCTCTTTGAAGTTCTATCAGGTTTTACCTCATGTATTTTGATGCTCTGTCGTTAGGTGCGTACATGTTTATGATTGTCATGTCTTCTTGGAGAATTGACCTCTTTATCCTTATGTACTGCCCCTCTGTATCCCTAATAATTTTCCTTGTTCTGATGTCTACTTTCTCTGAAATTAATTACTCCAGCTTTCTTTTGATTAGTGTTAGCTTGCTATATCTTTCTTTATCCCTTTACTTTTAACTTGTCAGTGTTTCTATAGTTAAAGTGGGTTTCTTTTAGACAGCATATAGTTGGGTCTTGTTTTTTAATCCACTCTGGTAATTTATGTCTTTTAATTGGCGTATGTAGACCATTCACATTTAAAGTGGTTATTGATATATGTGGATTAATATCAACTATGTGTAACTGTTTTCTATTCATCGCCAGAGACTTCTTTTTCTTTTTCTGCCTTCTCTGGTTTTGATTGATCAATTTATGATTCCTTTTTTTGCTCTCTTAGCACATCAAATATACTTTAAAGGTTTTTTTTCATAATTACCCTAGAGTTTACAATATCCTTTTTAAACTAATCTTAGTCCATCTTCAGATAACACTATTCCATTTTATGTGCAGTGCAGGTGTTTCCTAACAGAATTTTCCCATTTCCTCCCTCTCATCCCTTGTGATATTGCTGTCATTCATTTCACTTATCTGCGTGTCATAATCACCTAATAAGTTGTTACTATTATTAATTTAAACAGTTAATTTTAGATGAAATAAGAATAAGAAAAGTAGAAGATCTTGTTTTACCTTCATTTATTTTTTCTCTGACGTTCTTCCTTTCTTTCTGAGCTATATTGTTTTCTTTCTTCCTTAAGAAAATCTTCTAATATTTCTTACAAGGAAAATCTGCTGTGATGAATTCCCTTATAGTTTTATTTGTCTGAGAAAGTCTGTATTTCTTCTTTACTTTTGAAGGGTAATTTCACTTGATACAGAATTCTAAGTTGATGGGGTTTTCTCTCAACACTTTAAATATTTCCCTTCACTTTCTTCTTGGGTTGTATGGTTTCTGATGAGAATTCCGCTTAATATTTCTTATCCTTATTCCTTTACAGGTAAGGTATTCTTCCCTGCTCCTCTGGCTTCTCTCAAGATTTTGTCTTTGGTTTTCTACAGTTTGACTATGATGTGCCTAGATGTAGTTTTGTTTTGTGTTTTATTCTCCTTGGTGTTCTCTGAGCTTCCTGGATCTTGTGGTTTGATGTCTACTAATTTTGAAAAGTTCTTGACATTATCATTTCAAATGTATCTTCTTCATCCTCTCTTCTCCTTCTGGTATTCCAATTATGTATAGGTTACCTCTTTTAAAATGGTCCCATAGGTCTTGGATATTCTGTTTTGTTTTGCTTTTTTCACTCTTTCTGTTTGCATTTCAGTTAGAGCAGTTTCTATTGACCTATCTTTTAAGCTTACTGATTATTTCCTTGCCTGTGTCCAGTCTACTGGTAAGCCCATCAAAGACATTCTTCATCCCTGAAGTCTTCTTAAGACCAAACAGTAGTTTAGCTTAACTAGTAAAGAATGTTTGCCTTGAGCATTATGCTCTTTTAAGATTTATCTATACGGGATCAAATTGACAACAGCAACTCAAAAGATTAGATAGGAAACTTAGGGGTCAGTGAGTTTATGTTAATGGGGGAGGAATAACTCAGAAAAGAAAGATGAGAATGGTTGCCCAACTTGAAGAATGTAATCAATGTCACTGAATTGTACATGTAGAAATTGTTGAATTGATACATGTTCTGCTGTGTATATTCTCAACAACAAAAATAATTTTTGAAAAGCATTCTTCTTCTTTTACAGTGTTTTTGATTTCTAGCATTTCCTTTTGATATTCTCTTAGCATTTCTATCTCAGCTTACATTACTCGTCTATTCTTGCATGTTGTCTTTTTCCATTAGAGCCCTTAACATCAGTCATACTTATTTTAAATTCCTTATTTGATATCTGACTTTGGTTCTGAGCTTTGTTTTGTCTTTGCTTTGTTTTTGTCAGACTATGCTTTTTCTCGCCATTTGGCATGCCTTGTAATTTTTTTTTGAAGGCCAGACATTATCAGTTGTATCAGGTAATAGGAACTACAGTAAATAGCCCTCTAGTGTGAGGATTCATGTTTATCTGGTTAAGAGTTGGGTTGTGTTTAATGTTTGTTGTAGCATTGGCGCCTGACTCTTCAGATTCCTCTAGCGTCCTTGTTTTTGTCTCTCCTGTCTTTGGGCTTCCCTAGCTATTCTTCCTTGGATAGCCTGTGTCTTGCAACTCTTCCAACTGTAATCCACTATATTATACTGGAGCCCCTGTTGGTGTGGTGGTAAGGTGTGGGGGAGGGAAAGCATGCTATAATTTTATGATAGAATTTCATTATTTTAGTGGACCTGTGTCCCTGAGCTGTGATTTTCACAGGTGTTACTTAGTTCCCCCAACACCCCTTTAGATGAGACAGGAAGGCTGGAAAGATCTTTTTTAAACATAAAACACTTTCCATCATTCTCTCACTGAAAACCCTTGAGTATATTTAGTGTATTTTTCCCCCAGTTTTATATAGTCTGTGTTTTCTAATTTCTTTGACTCTTTTTTTCTCCCAATTTTATTTAGTCTATGTTTTCCGATTTCTTTGATTGTTTTTTTTTTCCGATTGTGCTTTAGGTGAAGGTTTACAGAGCTAATTGGTTTCCCATTCAGTAGTATACACAGATTATCTCATGACATTGGTCGAAATCCCTGCAGTGCATCAGCACTCTCCCCATTACTACCCTGAGTTTCCCGTGTCTGTTCGTCCGGTTTTCCTGCGCCTTCCTGCCTTCTCATCTTTGCTTTTGGGCAGATGTTGCCTTTTTGGTATCATGTAGATGACTGTGCTAAGGAGCACTTTCCTCACAGGTATTACTGTTTATTTCATAGGCCTGTTTATAATTTGGCTGAAAGGTGATTTCCAGGAATGGCTTTGGTTCCAAGTTACAAGGGTGTCTAAGGGCCATAGTCTTGGAGATTCCTCCAGTCTCTCTCGGACCAGTAAATCTGGTCTAGAAGCACCTTTTTAAGTTATTCAGGGAAGAAAGCTTTGACACATCTTTTGTCTACCTGAACTTTGTAGGGATTGACTTTGTTAGGCTAAATGGAAAAGGCATTTATTTGATTAACACTAATTATTCGTATGAGTTAAAATTTTTGTATAAAAAGAAGGCTTATTTACCTTTCTGGTTAGGTCAAAAAAATTTTAAACGGACTTTGTTTTACTTTTTTTAATTTTTAATTTAATCACATTTGCTATCGTCCTTTGGTATGCTATCCATATTCTCTAATATACCCTGACCTGGAACAGGAGTGGAACAATCTGACAGGTAATGGATATTATAGTGTAAGAAATCTGAAGATGTGGTATTTTTTAGGGGAGGGGCAATCTTGAGCAGCTTCCTGTTTGCATGAAATTCAGACTCCCAGCTAGAGCCAAAGCAAGGCCCTGCAGGGCTGGCATGTCTCCCACTTCTGGGCCACGTTTTGTTGTCCGTGGGCCTGTGAGCAGTTCCAGGAAGTCCTTCCTCTAAGGGCTTTCCATATGCTGGAACATTTCCGGTTTTTTTGGAACATACTTTTCCATCAACTTTTATCTGTCTAGCTCTTCCTCAGCCTTGAATTTTGGCTTAAATGCCACCTTGTCACAGAGGCGTTCCCTGACTTCTCTTTGTAAAGTTAAGTGCCTGTGTTATTCTCTCTTAACCCCATCTGATCTTTTCTTTCATAACATGTCTCGTAATTTTAAGTTGGTTACTACTATGTTTGTTTACTTGTTTATTGCCTATCTCTTCCACTAAATAAAAGTTTGGTGAGGGTGGAGTTATCTCCATATGCCCATTGTCTAGCACACTGCCTGGCACAGAGTAAACAATAAATGTTTGAGGAGTGAATGAAAGAGTGAGGGAGATGTAGTCAGAAAGTCTTGATACGATGAGATATGATGAGATAAAAGGGGAAAGACAGAACTCTCTGAGGCGAGAAGCTTAGAGGGAGGAAATACTTTTTATCAAGGTCTTGTTATACTCTGGGCTGTTTACCAAATATGTTCACACACATTATATCATTTCACTCTCCCAGTAATTCTGTTCTGTAGATATGTAGATGGGGGCTCAGAGGGCTTACGTACCTGGTCTAAGTTGGCGTAGTCGGAAAGCAGTAGAACAAGCATTCCATTCATGTTTCTTTAGCTGCAAAGGCCTGTCTTGGAGCACAAGCTCAGACGTTTAAAGGGCAAGGCAGCAATGAAGGAGGTGGGCAAGGGGAGGATTGGAGGGAACCAGAGAGCCTGTGCCCCATCCAAAGGAGCAGCCACCAACTCTACCCAGCTCCCACCAGTAGGTGCCATGGGGGAGTTTGGGCCCTGGATGGCCAGAACTTCCAGTTTGTCAAGAAAACTGTAAATCTGATTTTTATGGAAAATATTCTAATTTTAGATGTTGGCAACCAACTTTTTAAAAAATTTTAAACTTTGGAAGTCAAACAAAAGTTACCAGGGACTGGTTTGGGCCCATGGGCTGTCAGTTTACAGGCTTTTCTTCACAACAGAAATAACAAGAGCCCAGCCTGGCTGGACCAGAGAGCTGGCAACACAGAGGAGAGTGGTAGAGAGAATGTTCACATGCTGGAAACGAAAGCCTTTTGTATTAGAGCTAGAGAGGGCCTTGGATTCGTAAAGGGCAGTCATTTTTGCTAAAATGTGACATATATGTTCCTAAAAATCCCTATGTTATTCAAGAGTCAACAATAAAACCACAGAGCTACTGGGGAAAATGAGGTTGGTGGCATAACCCTCAAAAACTTTGTCAGTGATACATTAAAAATCAGATAGAAACCTAATAAAAACTTGGACAGTTTTACACATATAAATAGCTAAGAAAGATACAAAGACTACAATAAATATGGTACTTTACCTTGAAAAAAACCTGAAGTTTACTCGTAGAAGAAGAATTGCGGTTTGGAAGTTATTGTGCAGTGGTGGAAAGACAGTTTTCTGGAATCAGAAGGAAAGTTGTAACACCAGATGGATAGAACTGAGGGAGCTGGTGGATGTTTGAGGTGTGTGTGTTTTGTGTATTCCTACACAGCTCAATTCAGCTGGGTGGTGTTTTCTGCATTCACCTAGTGTTTCTCACAAAGAAGTTTTGCATAAACAAACAAGATTCGCATTATGTTCAAATTGTCCCCTAACATATTAATTGTGTTGGCACAAATTTGCCTTTTCAAAGCAAGTATTACAGCAGCACTGACTATAGCCAGGCAGTGAAGGCCTTAAAAATCACACAGAGAACAAGACATCCTTTCTCACCTTGTTCCCCAACCACTGCATTGTTATGTTTAGCAGGCAGGGAGTATGAACAGTTGTTCCAAGTAAATAAAGAAATTAAAAGAAGTTTGCCTCTCCTCCACAGGGGACGTAAACCTTAGTGAGTTTTGGGTACCTACCTTCAATTTGATGTTTTTTTTCAATCTCATTAAACAGGAGCCCACCTGCTAGTGTTTGTTAGCAAGGTGTCTGCTTGTTGGTCACCCTTGGATTCCAGTAGGGTATTGGGATTTTTTTTTCCTGCCTATATTTTTAGGTTTTTTTTTTTTTTTTTTTTTTCCATGGAGGAGATACCTCTAAATGGCAAATACAGACATCTTGGGAGGGGAGGATGAACAAACAAAATAACAAAAAAATTGTAAGTGATTCATTGAACATATATGAACCTTGAGTCTTTGGGGGCGGGGGGTGGGGGTGGGAGACAAGACTGATCCGAGCTTTGGGATATATGTTATGCACAGCCACCAAGACTTTCTGTCCCAGTGTAGACATAGCCAACCCTACCTCTCACCGCTTTTCCCCGGCCCTGTACCTTCCATGCTTCTACCAAGAGGACTGGGGAAGAGCATAAAAGGAAAATGACACGGGTGTGCTCACATGTGGCATGCCTTATATCTGACCATGCCATATGTGATGGAATTACTAGCCTTGCCTTGGTTTTAGTTGGTGATTGAAGACCCCTCTCAATTACATGACTGTTTCATTTCTTAACAGGGAAAACAGTTTAGGAAGGAAATAAGAATTGGTAGACAAAAAAGAAAGCAAACATTTGACTTTCAGATCTCAGGTTATGAGGACCTTCTGAAGGCCATCTTACTTACCTCCCACCCAAGGCAGGAGTCCCTTCTGTGGCAGCTGAGAGGTGTGTGTCACCCAGCCTGTGTCTGAGATGTTTCAGTTGAGGACTGGGTAGGAAACTTTTTAAAAGGAAATTCTTTTTACGAGGTTTTCTAAATCATGTTTTACTTTTCCAGGGGGCTCTGGGTATGTCATGGGTTAAAACAATGAGAGGTATTTCCTTTCCTTCTCTCTAAATCTGTTCTTTTTTCAGCCTTAAAAATCTTTGACCCTTCAGTTGGAAATGATGACATACTAGGATTCTTACCCAGCTATCAGCTAAAGATTTTTTTTGTATCTTATGTTCCCGTTCTCCTGTTCTTTCTTGTCTTGCTCTTGCTGGGCTCCCATCCGTAACATACTTGGCCACATCTTTGCATGGCTTCCTGTCTTACTTCATTCAGGTGTTGGCCCAAATGTCACTCCCTCAGAGAAATTTTTCCTCCCGAAGTTACCCCCTACTTCCTTCCCTGTGTCATACTCTGTTCACTTACTCTGCTTCAGTTTTCCCCATGGCAGTTACCACTGACTGATATTCTGTCATGTCATTGTTCATGGTCTGTTTTCCCTGCTAGAAGGTTAGCTTCATGAAGGTAGGACCTTTATTTTGTTCATGTCCCTGTCTCTAGTACCTAGAACAGTGCTTGACACAGAGACACTCCGTAAATATTTGTTAAATGATTGAATCTTTTCTTGCCTTATGTCATTTTTTTTTAAAAAAAACAACGAACATTATCTGGTTTCCATACTGGATAGTTGACAAAGCTATTGTGGTAGACTCTATGGGTTTATTGTCTGAACCTTGGAATTCCATTTTACAAAGCAAGGGGTGGTGCAGATACCACACCTGCCCTTAAATCTGCTATGCTGTACGAAACTGAACCCAAATTCTAGCCAGAGATGCAGCACATCTCCCCTTGCCCAGGTCCTAGCAACAGCAGTCCCAAGAGTCCTGTTTTGCAGTGAGGACCTGCTGGTGTCCTGGAGGAGAAGTGGGTAGTGCTCCAAGCTAGGGGCACGTGGACTAGGAAAGGGGTAGGACAAGGACTAGAACAGCTTCAAAGAATTTCTTAAGTGGGTATAACAGAGGGTGCTTGTGCTGTAGCAACTATTTTTATTGCAGCTAGTGCAGTTAGTCAAGAACTCTGGGAGGAGGTGGGCTCTGACAGCTGTGGCTCCTGAATAATGGGGGCCCTGGAGGGTTCAGAGTCAGGAGTTCTCTAGAGTCAGTGCCCACTGCCTTCAATGCTCCCACAAGCTTTCATTGTCTTCTCTCCTCTGCTGGCCCCGAGTCACATGTGCTCTCTGCCTTAAAGACCTCAGAATCAAAAAGTGAGAGTGAGTTGAGTGGATGGTAGAAGCAGGGTCAATCAATGGTGAGTCGAGTGTGTGTGAGAAAGGTACTCCCTGCTTTCTGTCAGCCCAAGCCAAGATTATTTACAGGACTTTCCCTTCAGAAATAACCCATCTTTAAAGTGTTCATTCCCAAGTTTTAGATTTTGTACATCAGTAGCATTAAAAAAAAAATTAAATGTTAGATTTGCCTGTATTTTTTTTTATTATGCTAGGTCAAGGATGTTATTCTTTTTTAAGTTAGATCTACCATCTGTTATGTATTATTGCCTTCATTTCATAAAATAAAGGGCATTTTAATTCAAAAAAACAGTAAGAAAGATATAATTCTAGAATAAAACTAGCCTTCTGAAAATTAGTTTCTGAAGAACTCAACTGTTGTGTTTTATTTTTCTCATTTCACCATGAACTGATGAAACAGCATCTTAACCACATTCACTCAAGGACTGGTGTTTGGCAACCACCACTTCTGAACACCACCTGCACGTGCACAGGGCACACGATACTCCTTGAGGGCAGCCTCCATGTTGTGTCTCGTAGATTGTGACAGACCAGCAGACAGGACAGAAGATCCAGATAGTCACCGCAGTGGACGCCTCCGGATCCCCCAAACAGCAGTTCATCCTAACCAGCCCAGATGGAGCTGGAACTGGGAAGGTGATCCTGGCTTCACCGGAGACATCCAGCGCCAAGCAGCTCATATTCACCACCTCCGACAACCTTGTCCCTGGCAGGATCCAGGTAAGGCCTGCTGAACAGGCATTCATTTCAGCACTTCTGCTGCTGAACTTGTTCCTGACTCTTACCTCTGCCTTGGAGGCCAAGTCTATCCTTAGAAGGCCCTTTGGAGACCTGGAAATATGGCAGGTTGCTGCTTTGGCCAAAGTAAAAAAAAAAAAGAAAAAGAAACAGCAAGTAAGTGGCAACGCCCAAAGGGCAGCCGAGTGCAGTGCTCAGAGGGGATGGAGGTTGAGCCAGGAAAAATCAGTTGCCCACAGGAGATTGGCCATGAGCAAGCTGGTGTTGAGTCCACTGAAGAATTTTTCCTATCTTAAGGCCACATGATGGCAGCCCTTGGCCCACCACCTAGGGCTGACCACAGCAGAACGAACACTGACTGGTTCCTGACTCTTAACCTCTGCCTTGTCCAGACCATTAAACCTGGTCCCTATGTCCTTTCCTTCCTTGCTTCTGTGAGCTGCTGGCTCTAGATCCCTCAGCTCTCGCCTTCATCTCTGCCCTGGTTCTCCCTACTGTGGCAGGGAGGGGTAGGGTCAGGGACAGGGCATAGGAAGGAGAAGCACAAGGAGTGTTGGGTTGAAGGGAAGCAGGGTTGTTGCTCAGCATAAGGTGGGGAAGCGTAAATTTCCTAGCTTAGAGAATAGGGACTCGAGGCCAGGGTCCCATGTTTAGTCAGGGTCAGGGTGCTTTCTTTGGGGCTTTCCACTGTGAAGAAGCTTAAGGAAGGAAAGGATTTTTTACTTATGATAGAGCTGGGTTCAGAACACCAGTATGTTCAGCTTTCAGAACTGTACTTTTGAGACACCTTATACTGCAGTTAGTAAATACTGTCTCCCCTTTCCTTTCCTAGAGTACATTCTGATCATCTGAACTCAGAATTCCTCCTTTCTTATTTAGAGTACTCCTCATTTATGAAAGGATGGCTGTAGATTTTGTTGCATATTTCACAAAAAGTGATTCTACATAATGATTTCTGTATATATTCCCACTATACATAAAATCATTTTAAGACTTATTGGCTCAAATTCTGGCAGATTTTAATAACAGCTATTTTTTCTCCATTTTTATATTGATACCAGTTACAGTTTTCTCTGAGATGAGTAGCACTGTTTGTCACTTAGAAAGTTGGCACAAATGAAGAGGAAATAGCAGATTTCAGAGGCTACGTATTCTAGTCCTCTTATCTCCAACTGGCTTAGTGAGAAACCTGGTTATTTAATTAGGTAATAGAGCTTGTCTACTGGCTATTTCTCTGCCAAATCCACCTCTTCGCATTCTCTCAAGTTGTTTCATGGGAATAGAGAGGCTGCCAGAAGGACCATAAATATCTGCATGTTAGAGCATCTGTGTAAGTTGCTCATATGTCCCCAATCGTTGGTGGCTGAGGTAGCCAGATAGGAGAGCGTAGATGAGTGGAGACCCTTCCTGACCCTGGAAAATCACCCGCTGAAGGGACACAGTTGGTGAGCAACAGGGTTATTTCGGATATCAGATCAGGTTGTGGGGTGGAATTTTCCCAGTTGTTCTGCCCAGAGTCCCTGCTTAGAAACCCACGATTAGGAATTTACAGTTAAACATTACTTTGCTCAGTGATCTGGTTTTTAGTCAACACCTTGCTTGTTTCCTGATTTCTCCTCAGATCGTCACGGATTCTGCTTCTGTCGAGCGTTTGCTGGGGAAGGCCGACGTCCAGCGGCCCCAGGTGGTAGAGTATTGTGTGGTCTGTGGAGATAAAGCCTCTGGTGAGTAACCCAGGTGCGCTGGGTGCATATCATGAAAAGTCATGAACCAAATTGAGGGTGGGGCTGGGACAGTAGTTAATGAAGAGAAAGCATTTTATGTAGGTTCTAAAACATGAAGTTTACTTTTCTTATTGAAGTAGTAATGTAACTAAACCAGTTTGTCAGGTTATTAAGATCCAAAGGAAATGTCAAGGAACTATTCTGTAATTTGTAAATGTTGGTTAAATGTCTCATAGACAGTTGTTATTTACATACTACTAAGAAAGTAATACTTCCTTTAATCCAGTTAATATTTGCACAGTGCTTTGCTATTTCACAAGATGTGTTATTTGTATAATCTCCTTCATCCTAACTGTACCTACCTATATCATCCTCTCACTATAACCCAGTCTGATGAACTACTCTAATGGAGGAGGAGGGAGCATATGGTTCTGGCTGAGTCCCAGGGAGAGGCCTCATAGACATTCACACCTGTGAGCCGTGGTATTTGAGAATGTGCATGTTGGGTAAAGCAGGAGAAGGGCGTTCCAGCTAGTGAAGTAAAGCCCCAGAGAGTTTACTGTCCACAGCCATGGTATCCTTGGTGAAGAGCTCATGGGCTTCTGTGGTTAAGATGTGGGTGCAAGCAGACCGGAGATGTCTGGCCCAAAAGTTCAGACTTCGGCCTGCTAGCACTAGGAACCCACAGAACGTAAGAGAGGCAGGCAGGCAGGAATGGAGAAGCATTTGATGAGGGCAAAGTTCCAATGATTCCAGGGACATAGGCCTACATTTTGTGATGACTGCTTGGTTCCACTTTATTCTGTAGTCACAAAACTCACAGGAGCTTAGGAGATATTGTGATTCTGGCTAAAAAAAAAAAAAAGAGAGAGACCGGACCATGCCACTTAGGAAGACAGCCCCAGGCAAGCATCTACAGAAGCTCAGGAGCTCCAGCTTCCCCTACAAGCTAGTGACACCATTTGCTCTGTCATTGGTGCCCTGCCTCTGCTCCCACCCCTTGTCCCGGTAAACCAACCCATCCCTACCTCTTCTTTGAAGCCCTCACCTACTTCACCTGCTTCTGCTATAGGGAGACAGCAGTGCCTCTGGTCCTAATCACCCTTTTGTACAGACCTCTCTAGGAATTTGTTGTGCTGTCTTATAATTGATTCTTCACAGGTCTGTCTTCCCCAACCAGACCGAGAAAGACCATGTCTTATCCATCCATCTCTGTGTCCCCATCTTCTTGCTCAGCAAGGAGGAGGCATACAGCAAACTTTTGAACAGATAAATGAAGCATGAACATAAAGAGAGGCCACAGAATCTGCTTGGCTTCCCCACTCATCAGTCTTCTTCTGGACTAAAAGAAAAGGCCTAGCACAGGCTTTCCCATGCTGTTGTCTCAAGATATTAGAGGTCACTCTAAGAGATAGAAAGCTCAAGGAAATGGACTGCAAGGAAAGGAAAAACAAGTGTAGGAAAGTAATTTTAGCAAGACTGTTTTTTTCTTTTTCAAAAAAAGTTTATTCTTAACTGTACAGCAGCCTCCAAGACAACACTTCATTCTAACTGTAGGTGGTAATAGTGTTATAGCAGGGAATCTAGATGTTTAAAGAGGAATGGAGTCAAGGATGACCATCGCCTCAGTCACAAAGAACAGCTTATTTTTTGCCGTATTTCTGAATTTCTCCTGTGGCCAGGAGGTCCTTCCCTACAGCCTTTGCTTTTAGCTCCTCGAGTTTCTTACTGCTTTTCTTTTTGTTTCTTCTCGAAAGCTTTGTCTTCCTTACCCATTTCCGTGGCCTGCTTCTTCAGCTTTTTCAGAGGCTTCTTCTTGCCACCTTCATGGTCAGACATGGTGCCTGCCACCCCTTCCCCAGACCCTGCCACCAGAAGCAGGCAAGACTCTGCTTAAAAGCACAAATCGAAATCCTGCAAATGTGCACTCCGGTTCTGAATACTAGAGCTTAGCTCAATGGGGCCCTCTGTAGCTACTATAAATGACTATACTGTGAAATGTGTTATCCCCAGCAGTACAGCTATGAAATTGGCTTATGTAAAAAAGACAGAACTGCGTATCTATCCATGGTCTTTCCCAGCTGGGATCAATGAGGCCATTTATGTGAAAGCACTTTGTGAACTAGGAAGGGTAAACTGAAGTAAGGGACTCTTTTTAATGTCATTGGTAATTTGAGGTTAGAGACACCAAAGTAAACAAGATTAGGACAATGAGCTATGTTTAATAAATATATTTTTAGGATTGTATCTTCAGAGAAGGTCTGAATACCTGACCCAGGTGAGCCATATGGCAGCCTTGTCTTGGCCCTTAGCAGTCACAATTCCCCGGGGGAGGTCTAGGGTCTAGGACATGAGCCAAACAGATGGAGTAAATGCAGACAGGAGACCCCTGTGTGATAAAACAGCACAGCCATGATGTGTCTGCCCGTGCCATTCCTGTAAGACGGGAGCTGAGAAGATTCGTAAACTCAGGTCTACAGGGCTAGGGCCAGGTTCTACAAGTGGACGATGCAATTCAGCTATCATCCATAAGCTTCTCCTGTTAGGTCTTTTGTGTACTAAGAGCATTGTGGTCGTGTCATTTACCAGCAGTCACATAATTCCTCTGAGCTTCCGTTTTTCCATCATTACCTCAAAGATTGAGGTGAAGTCATGGGCACCATACTGAATGTTCAGCCTGCTGGTGTCCAGGTGGCCCTCAGTATCTGACACTGTAGCACTAGTCGCTTTGCTATAACTACCTTAAAAAGAGGGTTTGCCCATCTTGTTGGCAAACTGCCTCATGTACTCTTCTTCTTTTCAGGTCGTCACTATGGGGCTGTCAGTTGTGAGGGTTGCAAAGGTTTCTTCAAAAGGAGTGTAAGGAAAAATTTGACCTACAGCTGCCGGAGCAACCAAGACTGCATCATCAATAAACACCATCGGAACCGCTGTCAGTTTTGCAGGCTGAAAAAATGCTTAGAGATGGGCATGAAAATGGAATGTGAGTAAGAATATTAAAAATCACAGTGAGTAAACACGGAGGGAAGAAAATGAGCAAGAGTCTATTAAATAAGTGTTCTGTATCAGAGCCAGTAGAGGCACGGTTGGTCAGTTCCTGTGGTGTGTGTGGAAAGCCCTATTCCGGATAAATCTGGGAGACAGCTGGGTGGAGGGGTGAACACAGGCTTTGGAGTAAAGCAGATGCCAGAGCACTGCCACATAAGAGCTGTGAGGCTTTGGGAAAACATGTTGCCTCTCTCAGCCTCAGTATCCTCATCTGTGAAACAGAACTCCATACCTTACATATGGCTCTGAGGATTAATCGACCTGTGCTTTACTCACTGTTTTCTTAGCCCCTGCACTCGACAGGTGCTCATCATAGGCACCCAGAAAATGATCACCACCACCACCCCCCACCAGGGAGGCAGAAAGGAAGTGTTGAGGTAGATTGTGTTCTTGCCATGGCAGGAATTTGATCCTGACTTGATTCTGTTTAAGAGACATGTAGTTTGGATCAGTTCTGTATGATGTGGGCCCTTCAGCCTTTTAAGGAAATGTCAGAGTCCTTTTTAGAGTTGCTCATTGGAAAGTTTAAATCTGGAGCTCCCCAATCCCCCAGGGGTTGTGTCTACCTGCACTGGGCTTCTTTTCTTTGGGGCTAGGCCCTCTGCCAAGCCCTCTGTGCAGCTGAAGTTCTAAAGAGAGAGCTGTTGTCCCTGGGTGTGGGGCAGCCAGGGAAGGTCTCAGGCCCCTGCTTTCAGCCTCTGTAGCCAGAATAGTTGGAGTTAGGAATTCCAAAACCAGACCCTCATCCACAGGGACCAATAAGCATTGGGGTCTATCTCCCAGCTAGTGGTGAAAACAAGAAGACCAGGATCCAAGATAAGCAGCAGAGAGAAATCCAAGGAGAGTGGATTTGGGATTTTAAACCACAACAGGAAAACAGAGGTTGACGGAGGCAGGCACACTGGGCCTGACAGGGCTGTAGGCCATATCCTCCACAGTGGGGAGAAAGGAGAAAGCTAGGGGTGCTTGGCCTCGCCTGGTGGCCCTGGACCTGGGACCACAGGCTCCTACTGAGGGTGCTACCCTTCTCTCATCTCCTACATGATCCCCTAGGAAGGCTGGACACCAATACAAATGTATCAGTGTTTGCATTTCTGGAAACAGAATGCTGCAGAATTCACCAGGGAACAAATGAAAGTTTATTTGTTCTTTGAGAAACTAGAAATATCAGCCTGATTTCTGCCTAGTGTGATGTTTTTGTTTTATCCAGTGATGCTGTTCTTCCTCCAAAGTGAATGAGCACATCACTGACTTGGTGTGGAATTGGCCCACATTGCCACGTTGTCCTGTTTTTCAAGAGTGAATAGTTTTACTCTGGACATTGACTGGAATCAGCCTTTTGCATTCACAGCTATAGCTACAAACTGAAGACTCAACTGGACATCAGTTTGGTTAGCAGGATATCTGAATTCTAGTCTCTGGGGCTCATCCCTTAGTCTTTTCTTTTCAAAACATCTTCATTTTCTTCAGTTCTTTCTAGCATGTAGACCTATTCTTATACCAGATTGCTGAAAAGAGATTGCTAGTGTGATGTAAAATTGATACCCATTAAACAATTTGCAGAAGGTATTGTTTGAGGTTTGAGTTGGAAATTAGAATGGTTCCTGTACAATTTGTGTTGTTGGACAAACTGTCTGTTAAGAGCCCACTTGAAGATGAGGCGTTTCTTAGTCTTGGAGAGCGTCCCTCTTGTTAGTAGCAAGAAATGAAAACACAGAGGGCTCAGTGTGCTCCCCTGACAGCGTTGTGCAAATGCCCTGCTGCGGTTTCTTAGCATGCAGCACCTACCATCCTTAGCTCTTTTTTTGTACCTTTTCATTTGATATGGCATTGTTTGCCATTGAGTCTTTCTCTCTTTTGGCTGAAAAGTCCACCATGAAAACTGAGGTAGACTAATTTAGCACCAGAGCTGAGCATCCCTGCGGTAATTTACTTACTGAGGAAGACCCCTTACGTTACCATGAGGGATGTGGTTTTTATTGATTTTAGTCTTTTCTCTAAACATGAGTATTTATGTTGTGATTTAAGCTGTGCAGAGTGAACGGAAGCCCTTTGATGTGCAGCGGGAGAAACCAAGCAATTGTGCTGCTTCAACTGAGAAAATCTATATCCGGAAGGACCTGAGAAGTCCTCTGATAGCCACCCCCACATTTGTGGCAGACAAAGATGGAGCAAGGTCAGTCCCCTGGTTTCTTGAAGGGTAGCATCAGGAGCAGCCTTTGGAGCTGATCAGAGGAGGCACAGATGTTCCTTGGGAAGGGAGCTTTTTATTACGCCCTACCCACCTGCCACAACTTTTAGCATTATTTTACCACCTCCCACCCTTTCTGGAGCTGCTCCAGTCATACCTCTGGACAGGCCTGAGGATGGCTGACTAAAGATGGCCTCAGAATTCCACCTATCTCAGGGGCTCAAGTCATCTTCTGCTTAGTTTAGGCATCATTTAATATATAGGAAAATAATTTGTTCTGTAATTCAAAATTGGGGGCTTTTTTGCAATACAGACAATAGGTTTAAATCCCAGATGAGATCCCAGATAGTAAGGTAGCAAGTACTCTTTAATGTCATTATTTAATTTAAAAGGAACAAAGAGGGAAAACAAGAAACCACAAATGTATCTGGAGAAATGGAGTTGAGGGTACCTTGGTAATCTGAAGACGAAATTAACTCTTGGCAGAACCACCACAGTCTCTGGTCAGTCTAGAAAACTCTGGTGGCTGTGCATTTGTGTTTGATGCTGTCTCAGGCCGTAGACTCAGCTTTGTGCATAACTCCTTGCAGAGAGAAGGAGGTATTCAGTCACTCAGGGGATGCATCTAGTTAGAGCTTTTCTCCCATTCAGACACCTCTGCACACATGGAAGGGACAGGGAAGTGCAGCACAATTGCACTGTACATACAATGCTGGAAGCTACTCTGGGTTTCTTTATGTCTTAAATAGACAGACAGGTCTTCTTGATCCAGGGATGCTTGTGAACATCCAACAGCCTTTGATACGTGAGGACGGCACAGTTCTCCTGGCCACGGATTCCAAGGTGATGTTCTCTACCTACGCCCTCTCCTCCTCCACTGTGTTCACAATGTGCTGCTGCTTTAAATGTGTGTGCCCACCCCTACTTCCAGGCCTACAGAGACCACATTGAAAGTATGACATTCTGCATCTCAGTTTGCTTCTTCTTGTGACACAGCTTCCTGGGATTTGTTTGAGGGATGCTGATGGCTTTGCAGAAACCTCAGTCAGGGCTGCCTGGTCATGGTCATTATAACACATCTGAGTTTAGAGTTCAATTTGGTGAAAGTTGTGTGGTTCTATTCTCTATTCAGATTTTTTTTTTCCTGGCACACACATTGGTAAACTACTGGCATGCTGAGAAGGTAGGTACTTATCCTAAGCAGACCTTTTGCAAAAGCCTCCAAATCCTTTTTGTTAGATGATCTTCTGGAGGAAGTTCAGCCAGGATTCTAATAATTCTAAAACTTTGCTAGAGCAAATCAGCCATAGGGAATTGAACTTGTTTTGGATAGAGATGCTTGTTAATCTGAGAGAGAGAGGAAACTGACTAACCCCTGTGAAGATAACCCAGGCAAAGGAATCCACTGTTCCTCCATGACACTGTGTTGCAAAATTAATGGCCTTTGTTTTTCTCATTTTGATGTTCCTGATGTAAACCAAGTAAGGAAGTAGCAGCATGCCAGTGGCTGAGGTCCGATTTCTCTACTCTGAAGGGGATGACAGAGTAACTGAGAGCCCTGGCAATGCTACTGCTCTTAGCACCAGAGCTAAGATGCAGCGTTCTTTCTCATCTGTTCTCATGCACGTTAATGTGCACACTTTGGGAAAGAGAGGACAAAAATTAGAGCCTTTGGCTGGCATGGAGGCCTGCCCTCTGCTCATTAGTCCCTGGGCTGGGCTCTAAGCTACCTGTCCTTGGTCCAGTGTTGATGTGTGTGACATGAGCTGATGAGTCCCACAGGGCTCCCTGCTTATCACCCAGTAGACATTCTGGCTGCACCATCAGGTATAGAGAACCCATAAGCCTGAGAGGAAGGCCTGCCTGAATAACCTTAAAAATCCTGACCATCACGGGGTTTCCTGGCAACCATTCTACTGTGCAGTCTATGCAGAGGACTAAGAACAAGAATTTCCCCCAAAAAATCCACGCCCTTTACAGTCACCACACATCCACCCCTCCTCTCCTCCACCCCCTCCACCAGCCCTAGGCAAACACTAATCTAGTTTTTGTCTCTATAATTTGCATATTCTGGACATTTCATATAAATGAAATCATAAAACAGATAGTCTTTTATGACTGGCTTCTTTCACTCAGCATAATGTTTTCAAGGTTTATCTATGTTGTAGTATGTAGTAGTGCTTCATTCCTTTTTATGGCTGATTAATATTCCATTGTATGGATACACTCGTTCATCCATTTGTCAGTTGGATAGACCCTTATCAAATACACGATTTGCAAATACTTTTCTCCCATTCTGTGGGTTGTCTTTTTAACTTTCTTGATTGTGTTCTTTGAAGCACAAAAGTTTGTAATTTTGGTGAAGTTCAATTTATCTGCAACCACATGTATAGTTTTTTTAATTTTACAGAGCAAATTAGTTTCTCATTGAACAATACACATGTGGTTTTGTGACATTGGTTGCCAGCGCCGCTGTGTCAACACTCTCCCCTTCTTGACCTTGGATTCCCCATTTCCATTTGTCCAGCTTTCTTGTCGCCTCTCATCCTGGCCCCTGGGCTGCTGTACCCATTTAGTCTTGTATACATGGTTGAGCAACGTGTATTATTGTTTCTTTTATGGGTCTGTCTAATCTTTGGCTGAAAAGTGTACCTGAGGAATGACTTCAGTACTGAGTTAAAAGGGTGTCTGGGGCCATACTCTCAGGGTCACGTGTAGATTTATGTAACCACTACATTATGGCAAGTGAAAGAAGCCAGTCACAAAAGACCATGTATTTTATGATTCCATTTATATGAAATGTCCAGAATAGGCAAATTATAGAAACAGAAACTAGATTAGTGCTTGCCTAGGGCTGGGGGGAAGTGAGATGTGTGGTGGCTGTAAAGGGCATTGGGTTTTTGTGGGGATTCTTGTTCTTAGTCTTTTGTATGGACCAAGATACAGAGCTATCTCATCACCAAAAAGATCTGCCTTGTGCTGTCCCTTTGTACTCACAGCCCCTCTAGAAAGACTGTTTTTAAACCAGCAATATACCTTTGTTGGCCTAAGAGTCATTATGTGTGTGTTCATTTTTAATGTTGTTATTTTTTGTTTAATAGGCAGAAACAAGCCAGGGAGCCCTGGGTACACTAGCAAATGTAGTGACTTCCCTTGCCAACCTGAGTGAATCCCTTAACAATGGTGACACTTCAGAGATCCAGCCGGAGGACCAGTCTGCAAGTGAGATCACCCGGTATGAGCCCGTGAGGATGGGGCTCCCCTCCTGATGTGCACACACAGTCGCTGTGTTGTGAGTGTGGATGGTAGCATTGTGACCCCCACCCTGTATTTAATCAAGGGTTGTCACAGTGACCCTTGCACATCTGCCTTCTTTCTAGTTTTAACTATTTGATGTAGACCCACTTACATTAGGTGGCATAAAGCAATCAAAACTGCCTTTCATTCCAGACAATGAGAAAGGAAATTGAGTAACTCAGTGGAAGCAGGGGGAAAAAAAACGTTTCAGTGGCCAGATGTTATTTGTATTCATCACTGTATATTACACCTGAACATTAATAGTTCATCCCCCTTGTCACTTCTGTTCTATCCTATTTTTCTCATGTATATTTTCTCCAAGTAGTGAGTTTAGACCTTAAAACCACCAGGGCAGATAGATAGAGATAGCTGATAGATAGCATTAGCTGGTCCCAGACATTCATAACTGGCTGCTGAGGATGTTTCTTCTCTGCAGCTTGGCTCTTGTGTTTTGCTCCTTTCAGGAGGGACCAGTCAATCCTGCCCATTGTGCCAGTCGTCAGGTGAGGAGCTGGGGCCACACGAGCGCTCTGTCAGCATGTTCATGTGTGGTCAGACAGCAGGATGAAAATCTAGGTCCAGTGCAAAGAGGATGGGATTTGAGTTAGAATTCTGGTTCCACCACTTAACTAGCTGGGTGGTCTTGGAAAAGTTATTTAATGTCTCTAAGCCTCAATTTTCACATTTGTAAAATGGAGAGAATTCCTACTTTGGAGGGAGTTATGAAAAATAGAAATTACATGTGGAAATAAATAGTACATAGCTCAGCACTTGAAATGATTTGTAACACTCAGTAAGTACATGCTTTCATTGTTATCCCTTCCTTCAGCAGGTATAATTTGGTTATCTTTCCCCATTTCATTATTTGTCTAAATTTTATCTCAGATAGAGCTCTGTTCCCTGTAAAATCTGTGGATTCATAGCACTTGTTGCTTCATTTTTGCTCACAGGGCATTTGATACCTTAGCTAAAGCGCTTAATACCACAGACAGCTCCTCTCCCCCAAGCCTGGTAGACGGGATAGACACCAGTGGAGGAGGGAGCATCCATGTCATCAGCAGAGACCAGTCGACACCCATCATTGAAGTAGAAGGTCCCCTCCTTTCAGACACACATGTCACATTTAAGGTGAGTGCTTTTGGCCTAGCCACATACCCTAGTCTCCCTATCCTGTTGAGAGGGGAGCTCTATGCCAAAGCTAGTCTGTAGTTTTGAAAATCAAACCTTAGAATGAGCTCATTTCCATATTGTGGTGTCTGACTTCATGGCTTCAGGCAGGACTTTGTATTCCAGAACAGTATTCCCGTTATGAAGCATATTCACTCTTCCTTTGCTCACAGTGCCATTTGGTTCTGAAGGTGACCCTAAAGCAGGTGTGACCCACCCTGCCAGGACAGGCAGGTGTGGTCTTGACGTGTTTCTCCAGGGCCCCTGACAGTGAGAGCTGATGCTGACTGCTCAGCCTTCCTGTGTTCCTATTATGATTCGACTCAACTCAGGCACAGGCAGCTTTGTCTCCTCGCTGTTGACTAGAAGCCTCGTATAAAATCCTCAAATAGGCATCCAGCTTTCATTCCTAACTGCTGGTCCCAACCACTTTTCCCTCTACAGCCATAGGAAACAAATCATAGACATCCTGGAAGAGTGCTATTAGGTCTTCCCTCTCTCCTTCAGTGGCCTTGCTTTTTCTTCAGGACACTCCCAGGGCACCTGTAGCCCTTTCAGTCTCTGGTTCTCCAGACTGAGTCTTCTTATTCCCCCAGTTTTCCTTGCTGATGAGACCTGGCTAGTTGTTCAGGGAAATTGGGTTCCTGCCCATAGTTGCCAACGTATGTCCAGGATGCAGTGTAATTCCAGCTTCAGATGGAGCCCCTTCTAGACCAAGTAGCCCAGGCCCGACATCCTGGTGGTGGGATTTCACCCACCTGCCATACCAGGCTCTCATTGTTACCTTGAGGCTGCCTACAAAATGCCTGCTAGCCCATGAGATTGACCCGTATTTTTCTGATTCAGTTTAGACCTTAATCTGTGGCTCAAAATGGAATTGCCTTAGAACAAATAATAATGAAGTTGGGGCAAGAGTTGAGGAGCATGCCTTTTTATGGGTGAGCTGGAATGTACCCCTCAGGCCTCTTGACTGCATGCCAAGGGCTATTAGAGCCTTCCTCACTGGGCAAGAAAACATAGGGAGTTAGTGAATTAGTGAACCCCACCTCCCCCGCCCCCCACCCAATGCAGGAGACACATACTTCATTAAAGGTGGGGCTGCACAACAGCCTCAAAATCAGAGACAGTGACTGTGGCTGCCACTGTTGTTAAGATGCAGCCAGGGATACATGTTGACAGAGGCATCCACCTGTCCCACCTTCATCTCCTGTGCTGTGTGTCTCCTCCAGCTAACAATGCCCAGCCCAATGCCAGAGTACCTCAACGTGCACTACATCTGCGAGTCTGCATCCCGCCTGCTCTTCCTCTCGATGCACTGGGCTAGGTCAATCCCAGCCTTTCAGGCACTTGGGTAAGTGGCCTTTTTCTCTGTGTGTATCCTTGAGCAAGGGCCTTTTTTCTAGGAATGGCCTGAAAGATCTCTGTGGGTGCTCCTAGTTTGACTATTTTCTGTGGGGTAGGTCAAGTGACCCTGAGTTTCCTCTTAAATATATTCAGTGGGCTGATAAGCAGGTGGAAGTGGTTGCCAGTTCTACAACATTCCTCAAACACTGAGCCTCCCACACGTGCCAGGGATAGAGTGGAGTGGAAGGCAAGAGTCGTCCCTGGCACTGTGGAGCTTATAATCTAATTTACTACACAAAGTGTGAGTCTAGATTGTCCTAGGCCCTTGACAATGTGAGGAACATGAACCAATTATGTCCTTAAACACAGTGCACTGATATTACATTCTCGCACAGCTGCTTACCTCCATGCCGACAGGCATTTTGAGCAGCACTGCAGGAAGCCCCTTCTTCTTACTTCTTGACTGAGCATAACTTGTGTATGTTTCTCTTGTTTTTTCCCCCAAATCCCAGCACTGGCTCTGCCATTGTGCCCATCAGGTGGGGCACAGTCTGGTTGCAAGATTTTAAAACAAGTCCACAAGAGACAAAGTATGACCTTGAGTATATCCTACCTGAATTTAGAGACCATCTCAAGAATAGATTTGATGCATTGAACACTAATGGTCGAAGGGCAGATGAGTGGTGGGATGACATGAAGAACATCATACGTGAAGAAAGCAAAAGGTCATTAAAAAGACAGGAAAGAAAGAAAAAAACAAAATGGATATCAGAAGAGACTCTGAAATTTGCTCTTAAACATAGAGTAGCTAAAGCGAACAGAAGAAATGATGAAGTAAAAGAGCTAAACAGATTTCAAAAGGTGGCTCAAGAAGACAGAGTAAAGTATTATAATGAAATGTGCCAAGACCTGGAGTTAGAAAACCAAAAGGGAGGAACACACTCGGCATTTCTCCAGCTTAAAGAACTGAAGAAAAAATTCAAGCCTCAAGTTGCAGTATTTAAGGATTCTATGGGCAAAATATTGAACGACACAGGAAGCATCAGAAGAAGATGGAAAGAATATACAGAGTCACTGTACCAAAAGGAATTAGTCAACATTCAGCCATTTCAGGAAGTAGCATATGATCAAGAAACGATAGTACTGAAGGAAGAAGTCCAAGCTGCACTGAAGGCATTGGCAGAAAACAAGGCTCCAGGAATTGACAGAGTACCAATGGAGATGTTTCAACAAATGGATGCAATGCTGGAAGTGCCCACTTGTCTGTGCCAAGAAATTTGGAAGGCAGCTACCTGGCCAACCGACTGGAAGAGATCCATATTTGTGCCCATTCAAAAGAAAGATGATCCAAGAGAATGCGGAAATTATTGAACAATATCATTAATATCACACGCAGATAAAATTTTACTGAAGATAATTCAAAAAGAGTCGCAGCAGTACATTGACAGGGAACTGCCAGAAATTCAAGCCACGTTCAGAAGAGGACATGGAACCAGGGATATCATTGTTGATGTCAGATGGATCTTGGCTAAAAGCAGACAATACCAGAAAGATGATTACCTGTCTTTTATTGACTATGCAAAGGCATTTGACTGTGTGGATCATAAAAAATTATGGATAACATTGCAAAGAACAAGAATTCAGAACACTTAGTTGTGCTCATGAAGAACCTGTACATAGACCAAGAGGCAGTCATTGAAACAGAACAAGGGGATACTCCATGGTTTAAAATCACGAAAGGTGTATCAGGGTTGTATCTTTCACCGTGCTTATTCAATCTGTATGCTGAGCAATCAGTCTGAGAAGCTGGACTGTATGAAGAAGAACATGGCATCAGGATTGGAGGAAGACTCATTAACAACCTAGAATATGCAGATGACACAACCTTGCTTGCTGAAAGCAAAGAGGACTTGAAGCACCTACTGATGAAGATCAAAGACTACAGCCTTCAGTATAGATTACACCTCAATATAAAGAAAACAGAAATTCTCACAACTGGACTAATAAGCAACATCATGATAAATGGAGCAAATATTGAAGTTGTCGAAGATTTCATTTTACTTGGATCCACAGTTAACACCCCTGGAAGCAGCAGTCAAAACTCAAACGATGTATTGCATTGGGCAAATCTGTAAGAGACCTCTTTCAAGTGTTAAAAAGCAAAGATGTCACTTTGAAGACTAAGGTGCACCTGACCCAAGCCATGGTATTTTCTTCTTTTTTTAAATTGTACTTTAGATGAAGGTTTACAGAACAAATAGTTTCTCATTAAACAGCCAGTACACATATTGTTTTATGACATTGGTCAACAACCCCCTGACATGTCAATGCTCTCCCTTCTCAACCTTGGAGGACCTTTGTTTTTTGGTGAAAATATACATAGCCAAAGTTATACCATTTCAAAAGTTTCTACGTGTACAATTCAGTGACATCGATTACATTCTTCAGTTGTGCTGCTATTCTCACTATCCTTTTCCAAATTACTCCATCACCATTATCTTCAACTCACTGTCCCCTAGCCTTCCCATCAAACCTTTTGAGTTGCTGTTGTCAGTTTGATCTCACATAGATAATTCTTTTTTTTTGTACCTTAGATGAAGGTTTGCAGAACAAATACTTTCTCATTAAATAGTACACATATTGCCCTATGACAATGGTTAACAACCCCACGACATGTCAACACTGTCCCTTCTCAATCTTGGGTTCCCTATCACAAGCTTTCCTGTCCCCTCCTGCCTTCTAGTCCTTGTCCCTGGACTGCTGTGCCTCATTAGTCCCGTTTTGTTTTATGAGGCTGTCCAATCCCCGGCTGAACGGTGAACTTTGGGAGGGGCTTCACCACTGAGCTAAAAGGGTGTCCGGGGGCCATACTCTCGGGGTTTCTCCAGACTGTCAGGCCAGTAAATCTGGTCTTTTTTTTGTGAGTTAGAATTTTATTCTACATCGTTTTCCAGGTCTTCCCAGGACCCTCTATTGTGGTCTTGGTCAGAGCAGTCGGTGGTAGCCGGGCACCATCTAGCTGTACTGGACTCAGTCTGGTGGAGGCC